GGAGCGCCTGGCCTGGACGCGGCACTCGCCCGCCCCTTGGAGCCGGGGGAGGCTGTATTCGACCAGAAAACCTTAAACCGACTTTACCCGAGAGGGCGGGCGAGAGGAGCTCGAGGTGATCCAGAGGCAGCCGGGCAGGGCCTCGGGGAGGAGCCTGGCCCCAATGAGCCGACTTCCGTGACACAGCAAACACAGAAAGACAAAGTCCATTTGGATGGAAGTGGGAGCGGAGTGAAGGGCCATTTTGACTCTATGGTCCAAGGAAATGACTGGTCTGATGCGCGTGGCAGCCGGGGTACCCAGGTACGGCCGCTCATGCGGGACTAGCAGGGACTGGCTGGTGGTCTGAGTCCCACTCTAAGTAGAGGGGAAGGGAGAGACTAGCAGGCACACTTGGGCATCTTGTTTTATATTCTGGGGATTCATGGCTGCTTTGGAGAGACTTGTCAAGTCGGCCCTGGCAGGAGGTGATTGAATTGTGGGGCACCAGGGTTCAGGTCAAAATGTAATTTCCCAGAGCTGTTTAAGGGGAGGGAATTGAGGACTTTTTTCATGTTTGACTTGTGGGAAGATTTCTTGGCCTGGAGAGAGCTGGAAGGCTGGAGAAGGGCTAAAACCTTGGGTCAGTGTCTGAGGGCAGCCATAGTCAGAGTTGGATTGGGGGACAGGAACTTTCAAAATGTGCAGGAACTTTAGAAGGGCCTCCTATTCACACTTATTCCCTCCACTCCCCATTGAGTCATTCCCAGGGGAGTGGTCCCAGGGGAGGTCTAAAATGTAAGCTTATGATTTTTTGTACCTGTTCTGAGTTCTCAGTTACTCAGCTGAAAGCATTTATTTTGTTTTTGGTGTTGTTGTTTTTTTAAATATATGTTTATTGATTTCAGAGAGAAAGGGAGAGGGAGAGAGAAATAGAAACATCAATGATGATAGAGAATCACTGATTGGCTGACTCTTGCACACCCCCTACTGAGGGTCAAGCCTGGCAACCCAGGCATGCGCCCTTGATCTGAATCAAACCTGGGACCCTTCAGTCCGCAGTCTGACGCTCTATCCACTGAGCCAAACCATCTAGGGCTACTGAAAGCATTGAAAACATTTTTCTCTCCTAAATTTGGAGTCGCTGTGGTTGTTCAAAAGCAGACATGAGGTGCTAGACCCAAGGGCATGGAAGAATCAGCATTTCAGGGACACTCAGGAAACTCTGGACTCTATTATTGGAAGAACAAATGGTTACTGTGTTGGGACATGGATGTGGCCTTAAAGCTGCTTTTTTTTTCTTTCTATCTCCTAGGGTCTAAGGATAACTCTGTGGCTATGATGGCCATGACTCTCACAGAGGACTACAGACTTCTGCACTCTGAGCAAAGTCAGGTGCCACTGGAGTTGTTCTGAGACACTTTCCCTAAAGGATGGCCAAGGGGCTCCTGGTGACCTATGTCCTCTGGGCTGTAGGGGGCCCTGCTGGGCTCCACCACTTGTACCTGGGCAGGGACAGCCACGCGCTGCTCTGGATGCTTACCCTGGGGGGTGGTGGGCTGGGCTGGCTCTGGGAGTTCTGGAAGCTCCCCAGCTTTGTAGCTCAGGCCAACAGAGCCCAAGGACAGAGGCAGAGTTCAAGAGGCGGGAGACCCCCTGTGAGTCCCATTCGTTTTGCCGCCCAGATGATAGTGGGCATCTATTTTGGCCTTGTGGCTCTCATTAGCCTTTCCTTCATGGCCAGCTTCTATATTGTGGGCCTCCCACTGGCAGTTGGCTTAGGAGTCTTGCTGGTGGCTGCTGTTGGCAACCAGACCTCAGACTTTAAGAACACTCTAGGGGCCGCATTTCTCACTTCCCCTATCTTCTATGGCCGCCCCATAGCTATTCTGCCCATCAGCTTGGCGGCCAGCATCACAGCCCAGAAGCATCGCCGCTACAAAGCGTCCATGGTGTCAGAGACACTCAGTGTGCGGCTCTACCGCCTGGGCTTAGCTTACCTGGCGTTCACCGGCCCGCTGGCATATAGCGCCCTCTGCAACACAGCGGCCACCCTCAACTATGTGGCAGAGACCCTGGGCTCCTTCTTGAGTTGGTTCAGCTTCTTCCCCCTCCTTGGCCGCCTCATGGAGTCTGTCCTCCTTCTGCCTTACCGTGTCTGGAGGCTGCTGGTGGGGGATCGTGGCTTCAGCAGCGGCTACTTCCAGGAGTGGGAGAAGCTCTATGAGTTTGTTCGCAGTTTTCAGGATGAGAAGCGTCAGTTGGCTTACCAGGTAAGGCTTTCTTCCCGTCTGGGAGTTAGGCTAAGCCTGATTGGAGCTGGTGCCCCTTGTTTTCATGTCTGCTGTGTCAGGCCGGGAGGGTGTCCTGGTTTCTTGGGGTGTGAAGGTGCCGAGGCTCTAATAGTGAGTGGGGGGAAATATGTGTATTTTATTTACTGTTCATTGAGGTATAACATATATAAAGTTTACTAACTTTATGTATATACCTATGTAACCACCACTCAGATCAAGGAATGGAA